AAGTGTAAAATACATATAAAAACTTTAAATAATATTTGTTTTAATTGTTTTTGGCAGGTGCCTTCAGGAAACAGAAAACTCCTGTTGAAACAACCAGAGTGTTCTTGTTTTTTCAGCTTGAGCGGTTGTTATTTTTTTGGACTATTTGAGTGTTTAGAAAAAATCAAGCATGTTAAATAAAATTGTGCATTTGTCATTTAAAATTCAAATTTATTAGTGAATATTGTTGCTTAAAATTTCAAATGTATTATTCTGATTTAAATTACCATGGCCAGATCATATTTGGATCTGGACCAGAGCTGGGCCAGTCTCAGGCCAGATGTGGTCCAGATTTGTCCTGGAACTTGGCCAGAGTAGGACTGGATGACAATTTAAGAATCCAAATTCGACCCTGTGCCTTCTCCAGTTTTGGCCCTGGTTAGGAAAAATAGATCCGCACTGGTATTGGCCCGGTGTGCAAAAGGACACTGGCCCGGGTTTGTTTTGCGGACACAGGCTAGATGTTACGTAGGCTCTGGGCCAGATGTGGTCCAGATTTGTCCTTGAACTTGGCGAGAATGGAGCCAGATCACAAATTAGGAATCCACATCCGGCCCGGTGCCGGTCCAGTTTTGACCCTGTTTCGAAAAAATGGATCCACACCAGTATTGACCCAGTGTGCAAAAAGACACTGGCCCGGGTTTGTTTTTGCGGATCCGGGTCAGATATTATGAAAGAAAAATTGGCTGTAAATTTGGCAAGCTTCAGATCTTTCATTCCGGAGGAAAGAACCACTATAAATCTTGCCAAGTAGCAGCTATGCTGGGGGAGAGGAGATTCTGTGGTGATGTCATATATGCGACGTGCCAATGTCTGATTTGTAGTCATAAGAATTATGAATTTTTACAATCTGATGAATCTCAAAGTATGTTACAGGCATGGTCGAAACACACATCATTACTTTTCATTTAAATTGAAGTAATACATACTGTGTGTGCAATTCAGGGCATATGGCAAAGTGATGGCAACTGTATGATGTCAGCAAACAAGTTAAAAAAACAAAACTTTGCTACTCTATATAAGAACAGAAAAACTATGGAGATCATCATTCTATCTGACTCTAGTGACACGTTTTACTGTAAATTAGTAAAAAGTGGCCCTTTTCAGCAAAGCTTCTAAAAACACTTTTTATTTTTTTATTTTTACCTCTGATGAAAGGAGGAGGAGCAATAAACTAGTCCTGCCTGAAGCTCGGTGTGGCAAGTAGGTCATTTTTGGTTAGATAGTTCGTGTTATCGAGTGAGTGTGTGTGAGTTCATTCGTTTTGGATTAAATACATTTTTCTTAAAAAATAGTAAATTAATTTTTGGAGGCTATACAAACTCCAGCAGGTCCAGACATCAAGTCCACGGTTTCCAAATGATAGAACGAACTGCACCATCTTTCCTTTCTGGTGCGTTTTGTGCAGCTAAAAACACATTTGTTTGTGGTGTGCACATCAGACCAGAGGATTACAATCCCAATGATGTGATGGGAGTTCAACATGCCTCCTATCTTCCAGAGCCCCGTGGTGGAGTTTCGAAAAATTGACGGCTCCTAGAGCTCAGCTCAGCATCGGAACCAGGTCAGAGAGGTCAGCGCTGAGATCCAGAAGCAGATGGGGAACTCTTAAAAAATCCTAGCGAGCCGGGTATGCTGGTTTCTGGGTTGGAACTGGCTCAGAACCGCCAGCCCCAACATCCCAAAAAGGATGCGGAGCATTTAAAAACCCCTAGCAGGCAAGGGAAACTGGTTTCTGGGTCGGAACTGGCTCAGAACCGGCGCCCCTTACCTCCAGAAAAGGATGCAAAGCTTTTAAAAATTCCTAGAGAGCTGGTTTCTAGGTCAGAAGCGGCTCAGAACCGGAGCCCCTAGAAGAGGATGCAGAGCTTTTAAGAATTTCTAGCGAGCTGGGGAAGCTGGTTTCTGGGTCGGAGCCAGGTCTGAGCCACCTGCCCTGAATAGAATGACAGGCGGCTCTCTCTAAAGAACTAAGCTACGTTACGTGAACGGATATTAATAAGAATGAAACAGCTCACAAACGCTCATTGTGGTTTGTTATTGTCAAGAAGAAATATTATATTAACGGACCAATAAGACAATAATAATCGTCTGGTACATGACTATAATCTGTAAAACATTGGGATGCTAGCACACAAGTTTAAGCTAGCTAGCTAGCATCGTTCACTCATCAAGACACCTGCTCGTTCCACATGACTTCCTGACACCCCAGCTAAATCTCTTTCTTTTGGCTATTATTTTGCCCTCTGGCTTGTCTCTGTTCTTTGGGCGTACAGCAGGCTCATAACTGTATGGTTGTGGTCCACCATAAGTATATAAACATTTCAAGTTTCCACTGTGTCAGAACTGGCATTAGAATCAACATTGTTGTCTGGATTAGGCTTACAGGACTCGCTCTGCCCGGTTTGGCAGAAGAAAATATTTTTCTCACAAAAATTACTCCCAAAGCCTAAACAATTTATTATGTGTACATTTGCATTTAGAACAAGTTCTTCTTACGTTTCTCTAAATATTTCTTCAAAGGAGGCTCTAACCTGCAATATGTTCTTTAAAGGCCTAAAATGAAGAGCTGTTACAGAACAGTTTAGATGAAGATTAAAATATTTTCAAGAAACAAGAAAGGAAACAAAGCTGTCATTGTATTCCATTCTTAAGATTTTATGTACTGGATGACCAATAACCCTAAATAAACTTATCTGATCTTTATTATTCCAACTCCTTCTAGTTTGTTTGAATTTTAAGATCAATTCAGGCTTCAATGACTCACAAAAAGTTTGAAAAAGTTCCAGCCAGCGTGAGTCACAGAATGAGGATGTTTTGGTTTTTACCTCCATCATTGAGCTGAATTTAAATATTTAGTTCATCTTGTGGTGAGATTTCCATCAATGGAACAACATTTTCTACTAATTGGGTGGCTTGTTCTAGGAAACAGGCTGTACAAACCATCAGGGGGCAAACCAAAGATAGCTTCATAAAGAAAAAGTCAGAAAGGAGATTTAAATGGACTTTAAAAGTTGGCAAAAAACTGCATCTGTTAGATAACAGCCGACCAAGTCAACTCATCTCTAAATATGTTTGTGTCTACAATGCATATGAAAAGGTTGTGTAAATGACCAACTGCATAGGTTAGCTACAAAACAGGAATGATTTTACACAAACTCAACCCCCCCCCCCCCCCCCCCAACCCCTTGTTCAAGGCAAAGAAAAGAAATGTCATTATACATTGTCACTTATGAGTAGGGCTGCACAATATATCACAAATATATCGTTTTGGCGATATCAGCATGTGCAATATGCATATCGCAAAGAACAGATATACATCGCAATGAATGGTCAGTTCAAATGTTTGCTACACATAAAGCATTCTGTCAATCAAAAGGAAGCATGATTTTTTTTTAACAAATCAAACAGAGTTTTTCACCCATTTAGCCAATTGGGTGGGTTCTCATAGGTCAGAAGCCCGTCCCTGAGGCGGACGGCACTTCATTTTGATGGTTAGCAAACACCTGCGTTAGCTTTGTTCCACTCTTTCTGCTGATGCTGCTTTTCCCGGGATCCACTTTTCTTTTTCCTTTCCTCACATCTTTTGCTTTTCTCATTTTTATTATTTAGTTTGTCAAATTTTTTTTTTTGTTTTTGATTATTTTTGTTACAGGGTTACGTTTTTATTCATCGCAAGTGATATCGTCATTGCAATATTAGTCACTGTTATCACATATCACAGGTTTTCCTAATATCGTGCAGCCCTACTTATGAGAGATTATGAATCAAGCAGTCGGAGGAGTCCAGGAAAATAAATCAGGCAAATTCCTATAACACAGTGAAAGGTTGTGAGTTTTGTGCTGGATGTGGGAACATTGGACCAGTCTTTTTCTGCCATAAGGCACTGGAGGACAAATGCTGGGCAGTCTTGTATGGAAATTCCTCATGGGAGATTTTGAATCTACATTTATTTTATACAGTTTAAATGCAGGAAATTCAGGTCTTCACAAGATTCTGACCATCTAAAATCCTACCGGTGGGACATAGTTCTGATTGAACAAATTCAGTTTGTTAATAAAATAACATCTATCGTTCATTGAAGTGTTATTTTATTAGCTGTATATTTAGCATTGATGTAATTTATATTCAATTATACGATTGTTTCCAGTGGAAAGTAGAAGCAAGGCTGATTATCTGTAACATTTCCAGTCTGATTCTGTCTGAATGACCATGTGAAGTACAGTTGCGTTTTACGTTTGTGTCAAGCAACCGTGTGACAGAGTAAAGAGTAAAACATCACCTCCTTCCATACATGTGAGTGCTCATAACATCAGGAATTACTGTGGATTTTGGGCTTCTGCAGTAACACGCTTCAATCATAACCCCACGCTTCAACAACTCAGATGTTGCAGAGTGCGCTTTCCTTAAATGCAAATATATTCCTAAGTAAATACAAAAATATCTTTCTCATGCACCTCTTTATTTACGTTTACTGATGAACTTTCTCCTGTTTTATCAAACAGGAGTGATGTATATTCTCGGTGTGAAGCCCGATCTTGTTTGACCCCAGAACATCATCATCACATTATGTTCTGTGCACTTCTTTAGCTACTGCTTTACTCAGTGAAGATATAAAATAAATAAATATTAGCATTAGACATTTACAAACATTATGATTGTTCTGTATCTGGCATCTGCAACCTTGATCAGTCTGAAGGTGAGGCACTGCTATCAAACAACAAAATACATGGGGGTATGAGATTTTATGAACATACAAGTTTATCTTGTCCTGTCATCACTTTTTAATAATGTTACTATATTTAACCCATAATCAAACAGATTTATGGTACGCTGTTTCTGCTTAGAACATGTGATATTTATTTTGATCATGACTTTGCTTCATGTGACACCTCTGTCCTGTTAATCGGCCACCTCTCTCACCCTGCGTCTCCCATGTCTCTTCAATGTTGCTTTCCTACCTTTCCGAACATTCCCATCTGTGGTGCGCTGAAACTCCCCAGCACTCAGCAGAAAGCAGGCTCTGTCGTGGGGGTAGCGCTCGCGACTGGTGTTGGAGCCGAGACCACCAGTGGCTGGGCTGCGCTCGTCCCCAAGGACTTGGTCTATGGTGGGGCAGTCCTCGTTGGCCAGGGCTGCTGCATTCGCTGCTGTTTCACCATTCTGCTTGGAATCTGAGAAAATGGATGTGTGGAATTGGGATGATCATCAAAAATGCAAGAAAATATTTAAAGCACTAATAAGAGAATGGGCATCCTTCAAAGGTATTTCAAGGAAAACTTCTCTCTAAGGAAAACTGTCTACTTATTTGTACTCCTAAATGAGGTGGATGTTAATTTATTAACCATAAATTCTAAAAGCAAGTGTTAATTGGGGGACACAGAACACATCACTGTGTGGTAGTTTTCTGCTGACAGCTTTAAAACCAGTCAAACCACATGTTTCTCCATACTTTTTAAAATATCTATATAATTCCAAATAACATACAAGATGACCCAGTGACATTTATATTGCTGGTTTTTGGTCTGTGATCCGGTCTGAGGCTGGCTGCAGCTCGGTCTGATCCATCATGGATCTTGCCCTCACAGGAGTGAGCACTCCAACTACGGCAATCACCTCAAGTGTCAATAAAAACAATGAAGCAGTGATTCAACTTTAACTTGATTCATGTATAAAAAGCAAGAAGATTGTACAAGCACAAAAATGGGACCCAGACTCTTTGGATGGTCTCCAAAAACACCTAATTACCAAAGATCAGTACATGGGACTGTGTCAACATCTGTGTGTCACAAATCTTATCCTACATGAACGAGATGCGAAAACCATGGCTGTTGCTGTATCTAGCCTAACTGTGTAAAGAACAAACACTCCAGCCTACTGGACAGATACAAAATGAGTCCATGGTCTAGGTCATGTCTCACAGAGAAAACGTATCCAACAATACTGATATAAATATAGAAGTTACCTCCCTCTCCCATAAACTTTCATTTACTTACATGGTATTTTACATGGGGTTGTGGGTGAGCTTTTTCACCATGGGGGCCATATCAGGTTTTGTTTTTGTGTTTTTTGTGGGGAAGCGAACCAATCCCAAGGGGTAAACTCCACCTGCCGAAAGTCAAACCAACGCTGAACTTACAAAAATTGCAGACCCTCCTTATGCTCTAAGGCAGAGGTCGGCAACCCACGGCTCTGGAGCCGCATGTGGTTCTTTCATCCATCTGATGCGGCTCTCTGTGCTTGTAAAATATTGAATGAATATTTAATTAAAATGTATTTTACTTTACTGCAATATTTTTTTTATCTGTATGCCAATTCTAAATATCAAGCTTTGTCATGATCATGCCCTGATGTCTGTGTTTTCCTGTCTCCCTGCAGCAGCAGTAACCTAAGCTGACTAATTCCACCTGTGCTGCTCCCCATTTAAGCACCTGGCTCCTACTGCTCAGTGCAAGATCATCTGCTGCCTTGTCACAGTCTGTTGAGCATTTAAACCTATCTGCCTGACTATTGCCCGGTCTCTACCTGCCTGACCACGGAACCTGCCTATCGCCTTAGTCCCTGTCTGGACCGGAGTAATCACATTTATTGGCAGCCCTCACCAACGCTGCGGCTGTTATCAGGAGGTCAGTCAGTCTTCTAATAAGTCATCTGAATCATCTCCCTCGCTGACTGTTTTCTGTCTCCCAGGCCACGCTGCCCAGAACCAACTTCAGCGGGTCCAGATCGCTGTATCAAGTCCTTTTATAACTTTCTCTGTTGTTGGATCTGACTGATTGATACTAGGTCTGACCGTGACAAAATTGTCATCTTTTAAAAACGTGTGTGTGTGTGTGTGTGTGTGTAAGTGTGTGTGTGTGTGTGTGTGTGTGTGTGTGTGTGTGTTTGTGTGTGTGTGTGTGTGTGTGTTGTACTTCAAGCACTGGTCTAAACAGCCTGACCAGTATCCAGTTATCCGTTATAAGTAAATAATTTCACTCAGTACGAATATTTCACCCGTATCCAGAGTATGTGAAGATCTGTCAAAATGTCTGAAATGTCATATCCCAACTTCCTCCTTTCTTTGTTTACTGGGACACCTGGACGATGTCCCGATTTAAACATCTCTAGTTCTCGTGGTTCTGACTGCCATATGCATCGCTAAGAAAACTATCCTCATGAATTGGAAAAATAGAGATACTCTTTGCATCAACCAGTATAGAAATCTTTTGTTAGATCATATTACTCTTGATAAAGCCTCTGCTTCCACTTCAAATCAATATCTCTGGGCTCCTTTGATCGGTACCATCACATAGCGATGATGGAGGATCATTGATATTGTCCTGCGGGATGATGTAGGTGATGGGGTGGAGGGTCTGAGTTTGGAGTATCCGGACATTCTCTGGAGGTGGGTTCACTGGGGGTGTCTGGGGCTGGGAGAATGCTGCCCCCCTCTGGATGTGCTTGGGTTGCCTCGGGGGGTGGACTACTAGCAGTTGCGAGTGGGGCCTCTGGAGGGGTCTCGGTGGCTGCCATGGGTTGCTCCCTGGCAGCTGCATCGCCCCTGAGTAGGTCTGGGTGGAGGCCTGGGGGCTCGGGGTGTGGGGGTGGTGGGCCACGTGTGGGGATCTGGGTGGGGACTTGGGGATGAGGTCCTGACTCGTAAGCTGCTGGGAAGAAGGCAGGAACAAGCGGCAGTGCATGGCCCAGGCTCAAGACCCTCAGGTGGACCTTGGCTCCTCTGGAATAATAACAACTCTGCCCCATCACAGGGGAGGGGGATGTCCAGGAGGAGGAGGACCCAACCTTACCTGGATGTCCCATGTCTTAAATATTCTGGAAGTTGTGCAAAAGCAGGGATGGGAGTAGATATTCTGCTGTGTTGGGGCGGCTCTGCGATGCTGCTGCTTTGGGCCCTGGCAAGATGGGCTGGGGTCTCCATGCCCTGGGTGGCATTTTGGGAATGGAGGTGCATATTGGGGCCAGTGGAGGAGCTGGCTCCCTGGAAGGCATAGGCCAACCAGCCATTCCTCCCCATCCCCATACATTTTTCTCCTCCTGCTCCCTCACATCATCACACAAACATGCACATAGGACCTTAGGGGGGTGGACAAGTCAGGGGGTGTGGGTATGGATCCCATTTCCGCATTCCTGTGGCAACCTGCCCCCTAATTTTATTTGCACTTTAAACACTTCCACCCACATCATTTCACGCAAACACACTCTTGGGGCCTTGGGAGTGAGCACACTCAACTGCATTTGGCAGGGGGATCTTTCAGCCTCATCCCGAGTGCCGGTGCCCACTTCCAACTTTAAACTGCACTTAGACACAGAGGGCTGTGGGGGAAAGTGGGATTGTGTGGTTGCATCAGCTGGCGTAGGCCAGACGATGCCTGCACTGCTCGCTTACCACAGCCATGGAATACACCTCATCAACACGCACCAACAAAGTATTGGAGCAGGCAGAGGGTGACTAGGGGTCTTAGCACACCTCTGTTGCCGCTTGGCTTCCCGGGGCTGGAGGCTAGGAGGGGGAGCTGGCCATCATGTTGGGGTCTGGGGTGGTGGGTTGCTTTGTTCGGCATTGAGCGGGCAGAGCCGGGGTCTCCATGCCCTGGGTGGCATTTTGGGAATGGAGGTGCATATTGGGGCCAGTGGAGGAGCTGGCTCCCTGGAAGGCATAGGCCAACCAGCCATTCCTCCCCATCCCCATACATTTTTCTCCTCCTGCTCCCTCACATCATCACACAAACATGCACATAGGACCTTAGGGGGGTGGACAAGTCAGGGGGTGTGGGTATGGATCCCATTTCCGCATTCCTGTGGCAACCTGCCCCCTAATTTTATTTGCACTTTAAACACTTCCACCAACATCATTTCACGCAAACACACTCTTGGGGCCTTGGGAGTGAGCACACTCAACTGCATTTGGCAGGGGGATCTTTCAGCCTCATCCCGAGTGCCGGTGCCCACTTCCAACTTTAAACTGCACTTAGACACAGAGGGCTGTGGGGGAAAGTGGGATTGTGTGGTTGCATCAGCTGGCGTAGGCCAGACGATGCCTGCACTGCTCGCTTACCACAGCCATGGAATACACCTCATCAACACGCACCAACAAAGTATTGGAGCAGGCAGAGGGTGACTAGGGGTCTTAGCACACCTCTGTTGCCGCTTGGCTTCCCGGGGCTGGAGGCTAGGAGGGGGAGCTGGCCATCATGTTGGGGTCTGGGGTGGTGGGTTGCTTTGTTCGGCATTGAGCGGGCAGAGCCTGCTCATCATCACCCCAGCAGAAAGGGTCAAACTCTGGGAACCGGTAATGGTTGTACCCTTTGTGCAGCAGTACCAGGACCAGAGTGAATAGGGCGTGTATGGGGAGCATGAGTGGGTGTATAGCGTTCATTTTTGTAAGTCTTAGGTTGTATGTGTATGTGTGAGAATGAGGGAGGGAGTGCGTGACTGTGTCTGTGTACGACTCTATATGTCAGGTGGGGTATTGGACTCATCCCCTCTCCTGGGACTTCTTGTGCCACAACACATCTTCACCTGCCCTCCCCGGCACACCTGGTGTGGAGTGTGGTGTTTTGGTTTGCCTGAGTGTTCGCGGTTCCCGGGTCAGGGGGTTTAAGGTTTTTGGAGTCTGCCTGGCCAATCCCGGTGGCTGCCTGGTGGTATCTGAGTCCCTGGGCTCTGTTGGGTCCCCGGCGGAGCTGGTCGCCCCTGGGTCCTGAGTCGCTGGGTTCCGGGCTCAGCTGGCTCAGGGGTGGGAGGCTGCGAGCGGGCCTGTGGGCTTGCCACTGATATCTTCCGGTACTCTGCCGGGTGGATCTCTGGGACTTGGAGCTCCCTCCATCTCCTACACATCTTTGGGGGCAGATCTGTGGCCCCTCACACTCTCTGTTGGATGTTCCTATAGAGAAACCTTACATAAACATGCGCGTGAACACATGCAGGTGCTCACATGGTGCTCTCATAAGTATGGACTAGGGCACGTTCAACACATGTCTTAAGGTGGTGGTTGGCACTAAATGCACTGTGTTTTATTTTCGTGATTGTTCAGTAAAACAATGTTGATTTTATATTTCATCATTAGGTTGATGCAGTGATAGCTTGCTCCTGTTGTATTGTGTGTTGCTTTCTCTTTTTGCAGGTCTAGAAGCAGACTCTACTTTATCATTGATTGTTTGTTTTTGTGGAAACCTTTTTGTTTGCCTTTTTGTGAAGATTGTTGCAAAGAGAAAAAATTAAACTCGATTAACCCCAGAGCGATGTGCACTGTGCTGTTATCTCCGTCACTGTAAATGAGGTAAAAAAACAAAAACAAATTGATCTGATCCTTTTCTTACCTTTTCGACATTGTTTAATGTAAAGTTTTGTTCAATACAAAGTTTAATTACAACAATCTGGCAATACAGAGCCTGAATTTGTATTCTGAATAGTTTAAACATGTTTTAAAAGGAGACATATATGATGCGTAAAAAAGCAGAACCTGCTCAGTTCCAGTAGGCCCCACCCACAACGCCACAGCTGCTGTGGCTCATTGTGTTTTCTTTACTGTGGGAACCGGTCATAATGGCTCTTTGATGGGAAAAGGTTTCTGACCCCTGCTCTAAGGGTTGGATCCAGAAGAGGTCCATTTGCCCAGCCCTATGTAAGTTGTTTAATAATCTTGCTATGCACCCCTTTTATTCTTTGAACACCCGCCCCTTCAGAGGTCTCTGCAAGTCCCTGCTAGAGCTGTATCCTCACTGGCCCAGAAAAGCCCTAGGATTGTTTGGTAGGAGCTGGAGGGGGTTGCTGGGGCAAGGGATGTCTGAACTTTCCTCCATGTATCTGAGGATATCCCTAACCAGAGCCTGGGAAACTGCTGGGTAGTTGGTCAAACCACAAAACACGAAAAGGAACTTACGTCTGCTGAAGAACAAGTTCTGTAAAAATTGTAGGAGCTCAAAAGCAGTGAAGTTAAGTAACACAATACAACTCATCCCCTGAGAAATGAAAAGTGGTTCTACCAGTGTGTAAAAATCTATGAATTATCACTTTAGCAATAACAGAGAATCTTTATACACATAAAAGATCAGATCAACAATAACAGTAAGACTTTCTGAGATCCCATGTCAGGACTTCTTGTCCTGACAGTTTTCCGTGTGATATGCCAAGATCCTGAATAACACTCAAACAAACTGTCAATTTACCAAAAATACATTCTTTTAGAAAAATTTATGGAAAAAAGTGGGGTACTTGAATGGGAAAAGTAAAGAATTTTATGATCGTTGACCAAACAACCTTTCACTGTCACGGTGTAACCCAAAGTTGGGGTCAAGAGGATCCCTGCGTGAGCTGCAAAGCATTTGAAGTTATTTCCAGAAATGAAATTAAACAAAATAATACAGAAAAGGGAATGTGTGTATTTGTAATGTTATTCTGTGACAACTTACCTGCCCTGTTTATCTCAATAATCTCTTCCTGTGCCAGGGGACAGTCTCCGGTCCCAATCATGCTGCCGGATCCCATCATGACTGGCCCAAGCACATTGCCCATTAGTCTGTCTGGAGAGGCTGTTGCCATGGCTAGAGCATCTGGCTTGCAGTAATTGGGGCTTCCTGGCTGCGGTGCTCTTGGGATGTGCTTGTTCCTCTTCTTGGGGAGCTTTTGCTTGGCCATGGCCAAGGAATAGTACATGCCGAAATTGTTGACAATGACAGGAACAGGCATAGCAATAGTCAGGACACCTGCCAAGGCACAGAGGGCACCCACCAGCATTCCTGACCATGTCATAGGGTACATATCACCATATCCCAAGGTGGTCATAGTAACCACAGCCCACCAGAAGCCAATGGGGATGTTCTTAAAATAAGTGTGAGCTGCAGCTGTTGGATCGCCTGGGTCAGCACCAATACGTTCAGCATAGTAGATCATGGTAGCAAAAATGAGGACGCCCAGCGCCAGAAAAATTATTAGCAGCAAGAATTCATTGGTGCTTGCCCGCAGGGTGTGGCCAAGGACTCGTAAACCAACAAAGTGGCGGGTCAGCTTGAATATACGCAGGATACGGACAAAACGCACCACGCGCAGAAAGCTGAGAATATCTTTGGCTGTTTTGGAAGAGAGGCCACTGAGTGCTACCTCTAAATAAAAGGGCACAATAGCCACAAAGTCAATGATGTTAAGGGTGCTGCGGAAGAACTCTGCCTTGTCGGGGCAAAAGACGACACGAGCCATCACCTCAATCGTGAACCAGATGACACAGACGCCCTCCACATAGGTCAGCCAGCCATCGGTAACAACTTCATAGACGATCTGTCAAGGAAAAGACAAACACGAGCATTTAGAATGTTACGTTGCCCATTAGTTCACTCATTCATTTGTTCTTTCAGCGGTTTGTTCATTTATTTATTTGTTTTTCATTTAATCTTTCATTCATTTGTCCATTCATTCACTCATTTGTTCATTCTTTCATTAATATGTTCCTTTATTTGCTTGTTTGTTATATTGCTTATTCATTCAATTGTTTGTTCATGTGTTGATTAATTTAAAAAATGTATCCTTTTGGGAACATTTAAAGAAGATGATGTCATACGGACACAGATTTTCCACTGCATGTGTAATGTGTGTGTAACGTAACAGACGTGTTTTCACAGCAACCTCAGCTCTGCGTACCTTAGATGTGTGCAGCAGCTGCATCTGTGTTTCTTGCAGCTGGTCCCAGTGTTGCCAACTTAGCAAATTTGTCACCACGACTTTTCAGACCCCCTTAAAGACTTTTTTTTTTTTTTCCCAAAAAAGCGCCTAGCGACAATTCTGGTGACATTTCTGACCCCCTCAGCTACTTTGACTACAAGTTTGTAGCAGACTTTACCTGCAGATTAGCAAGGCATCTGAAGCGACAGGACCGTCCTTCCTTCCAGAGGATCAGAAATGATGTACGCATGTGCTTGCAGCATGATCATGCTACCCCCGTTGGCCAATCAAAACTTTTGTGGGTTTTCTTCCACAAGTCCATTATTTGAGATAGCCACCGGAGCTACATAAAGGGCGACCGCTCCTTCCGCCATCCTGCCGCATTTCGGCAGCTGAGCTCGGCTGGCACTGGCAGGCAGCGTCGCACGGCTTCTCGCACCACTTGTGGTGCATTCAAGGAACATTGGAACTCTATGATGAGTTCAATAACGTAGCACATTTAAAACTTTTATAAAAAACAGAATAATACTGTAAGTCATTGGCAGGTCATTGGCAGTTTGCATGTAACGTTTCTGAATACTAAATACGACCTGCTTCTTTTTACACAAAAGTACTAAAAACAACAAAACCGAACAAAATCAATATATATATATATATCAATATATATATATATATATATATACCTATTATCTTTTAGGTCAATATATAGCACTGAATCACAACAGAAGAATACATATCAAGGCACTTGAAAGCTACAACAGAAAATTCATTTTAATTCAATCATACATACATTCCTTTCAATTTCATATTTTTTGTGTTTAAGAGTTCCATTCTCTTCAGACAAAATATAAATATTCCTTCCATTTTTTTGTGCCATCTTTCCTTGATGTTTTAAAGACTGCCATTTTGTATTCTATGGGGTTTATATTTTAATAAAATATTAAAATTGAAATTGAATTTTTTTAAATAAAATCACGTGGGTTTTATTTGATTTACTCTACAAGACGGGTGACATCATGACGCAAACGTGGTGATGTCATCATGCAAACCAGATGACGTCATTGTGCTGTATGTAAATTAGCACGTGACGTCATTTGGCGACATCTAGTGACTTTTGGGGGGAACTTCAGCTACTTTCAGTCAAAAACCGTTGGCAACACTGGCTGGTCCTGCACAATCATGAAATCACAGGGGGGAATGCAAGCTCACTTGTGATTTCACCAGTTTGTGTGATAAAAAGGAAGGAAAGAGGTAGCAGCATGTATCCAGTTGTTTTGGTTGTTTTCAGAAGCAGAAAAAATAAAAAAGTAAAATTTTTTAGGGAGTTAATTTTTACTTCTGCCATGAAAGTTTAATGACACTTTTTAGTTAAGCAATAGAAAATCTGCACATCTTTTATTTAGAAATTGGCCAGTGGCTTTATACTGGCCAGCGATCATTTGCTAATCTTCACTTCCTGCGGTAAGGCATTTTGCAGCAATTCCTGTTTTCCGTGTAGCTGTTCAGCGTTTGTGGCTCGCTAAAATTGATTTGATTTCTCTGCACTGGGACATTCTGAGTTGTTGTAGCACATAAGCACACTAAAACACACATTTTCTGTTGTTCCACCAAGCTTTTAGGGAACCCTTTGAGTTTGCACGCAGTTTATTTGGTGTTGAATGGGTTGCTCGTCCAGTTAGCTTAGCCTCAGCACGGCTATGGCAGTAGGAAGAACTGGGACAGAACCTTGTTTTGGATTTGGGGCCAAACAGATTTTGTTTTCATGCCTGCAAATGAAAGGTTACTTTCTGGTCAATTTGTTGGTGAAAATTTGACCTTTGATACATTCGTTTATATTGGTCATATTTATGTTTATTTATTTGGCAGACACTTTTATCCAAAGCGACTTACAATTTATAACCTATAGGGCATGTTGTGATCTGTGGGGGAAACCGGAGTACCCGGAGGAAACCCACGCATGCATGGGGAGAACACGCAACTCCACACAGAAAGGCCGCAGCCGAGTTTCAAACCTGCAACCTTTGTGCTGCGAGGCAAAAGTGCTAACAACTGCGCCACCATGCCGATTTATAGACAGGGATTGTCCAGAATCCAGAAGCAATGTTCCAGGCAGGCCATTGACCACCGAGACAAAGGAACTTGTTGGCTGAGTTTCCTGAAGTCAATAGTTAGTCTCCACTTGCCATTAGGTTTCCTTACTGGCCACAATGGAGCCGAGTAGGTGCTGTTACAGGTTTGAATGATACCCTTCTCCAAGAGGCTGTCAATTATTTCCTGGACTGGTCCATGGGACGCCAGGGAAATCTTGTATTGGCGCACAAAAGTCTAACTCATCAAACTGTGTAAGACGAAGAACTAAAGAAAATGAAATATGACTGTACCTCCCGGTGGCAAGACAAGACATGGTAAACATGGCACTTGTTTTGGTATGGAAAAGCATGCAGCATTCTGGGCAGATGAAGCTGGCTGTGGACAGTGTACACTTTTGGTGACTTCTGACATACAAAGCCTGTTCTACGCTACACCCTCCAGGACTACACTAATGGCATAGAGCTGATCCACTGTTCCATGGTCAGGACGAAAACCACATTGCTCCTCCTGATTTCCAGGTTTGACAGTCTTGGAACCTATCTTCAGAACCCCCTAATAGACTTTACCAGGGAGGCTCAGAAGTGTGATCCCTCTTTATTTGGAACACATCCTACGGTCTCCCTTTTTAAATAGGGGACCACCACCCCGGTCTGCCAATCCAGTAGAACTGGCACCAATGTCCACATGATATTGCAAATTAGCCAACACAACCCGACAACATCCAGAGTCTTAAGGAAATCTGGGCGGATCTCATCCATCCTCGAAGCCTTGCCACCGAGGAGCTTTTTGACCACCTGAGTGACCTCAGCACTAGTGATTGGAGAGCCCAATCCCAAACTCTGCTTCGTCAATTGAAGATGTGCTGGTGGGATTGAGGAGGTCTTCGGAGTGCTGTGCCAACCGATCCACAACGTCCCGAGTAGAGGTTAGCAGCACACCGTCCCTACTGTAAAAAGTGTGGTGGCACACTGCTTCGCCCTCCAGGGATTGTGGACCAAAATCTCCTCCAAATATGATTTTGGTGTGTTCAACCCAATGTCACCCAAATATCATGTGTAACCCAGTGTAAACCCCAGATTGCAATAGTAACCTCATTACACAATTAGAATGAATATTGAAATATGAATGGAAATTTACAAAACAGTTAAAACAGGATAAAAGACCAAATAAGATAAATAGAAATCTAAACATTCATACATAGTTAAAAAAAATAAAAAAGAAATTGTTGAAAATAGTCAAATAAGAAAAGCTAAAACCGAGCAAATAGAAAGTTCCAGTAAAATTCAGGTAGCAACTGACTAACCAATCCCGTGGCTAACCAGCTATCGCATCAGGCAATAGAATTTAGCGCTTTCTGCTGCTCGCCGCATAGCTTCCACTTGCCTTCAGACGCGCTGAGACGCTGACAATGAAGCACTTGCCCGTGAAGAGCAAACTAGAATGCACTAGCAGCCGTTATTTGAAAAAAAGAAATTACTCCAAGTTCGGTAAGCGGATATAATTTTCGTGTTTAGGTGCTGTTGCTGTGTAATAGTGACAAGTTATTTGTTATGCTGTAGAAATACAGAGGTCCGAAGACCGTGATTTTGCCATGAATTACCCTTGGGAAACCCCATGTAACCCAAGCTGAATTTTCTTGGTGAGTCTATTAGTGTGTAATTAGTATGTGTATTAGTGTGTGTTAATTCATGCTAGGATATATTAGCCCCATAGCTAACCTTCGACAGCCGTTAGAATTAACTTGGCACTTAAACATTAGTTCCTGCAGTTTAACCTTAACTGGAAAGATTGTTATAGATGTGGAGGTGATGAGTGTTTTAAATGACCAATTAAAACACTGTATTGCTCAGTTTATAAAAATGTGATGTGAAAAGAAGTTGAAGTTAATTCCAGAATTTCTTGTTGGAAACTTATTTCAACTGATTTATTGGTAATTTGGTGACTTCATTATCCTATGGTACCTACTTGAACTGAATTAATTGTTGTACAACGTGTGATTTAATTCTAAAGGAATTGATTTCATTGGACTAATGCAGATTGTAAACCACAGTTATGCATTAAAATATTGTATTCTGACCTTCTCTTTAGGTCAGTTTTTTTTTTTTTTTTGATTGATTCACCTCGGTGAACTGAAGATTCTTGCTCCAGTTCTGGATGGCGAGCCCCAGCCCAAACGAACTATCAAGCCGGTGATTAACTGGTCTGTAACTCACCTGAACTCGACTTCAACCCAAGATCTGACTGACAAGATTTTCATGAACATTTATCAAGCTGACTGCTGACTGACTGAACAAACACAGACTGGTGACACTTTATTTTATTTTATTTTGTTTCACAAAGCGCTTTATTATATCTTAAGTGGTTTATGAATGCTGGTAATAAACCATTTGTTATACTTACCTTGCTTGGTCCATGTTGTCACTCTACCACTTGCTCCTCAGAATCTAGAATCTTCTTATCTGTTCCACTCGGTGTTAAACCGCAAAGATTTTTATGTGAACCAACTCTAGTAAAATAACTGAGGTTAT